ATTTTCAATTATAACCAATTTTACGTACTAAACACCACCAATCATGTGCATGAATAAAATTTTCGATTACAATCAATTCACGTGCTAAACGACCAAGTGGAGGAATCAAAGATTAGTAGTTTATATTACATTGTTTTGTCAGCTCTTTTTTTCCAGCATTTTGGCCCATTGTTAAGGGAGATATCTGCAGAGCGGTGAGGAGTTTTTTTTATTATGGAAGAATGCTGTCTTATTGGAATCATACCATGATTACTCTGATCCCAAAATGTGATAACCCTACATCTCTTAACCAATTTCGGCCTATTAGGCTATTAGCTTGTGTGTTGTGTTTTATAAGATAATCTCAAAAATTCTTGCAATGAGGTTGAGACAGTGTATCAGTGGATGTGTTAGTGAGACTCAAGCAGCTTTCCTTCCGGGGAGGCAACTAACAGACAATGTAGTGATAGCACAGGAAGGGTCCACTTCTTAACAGGCATAGAACTGGGAGGCATTGCTATATGGCCATCAAGCTCGACATGATGAAAGCATACGATAGAGTGGAGTGGAACTGCTTGAGATTGATAATGCTAAAGATGGGGTTTGCCCAGAGGTTTGTGCAATGGGTGATTGAGTGTGTGACATCTGTGTCCTTCTCTTTTTCTATCAATGGTAAGGTATGTGGAAATGTGGCTGCATATAGGGGGCTGAGACAGGGTGATCCCCTGCCTCCGTATTTGTTCATACTCATTTCAGAGTTATTTTCATCCATGATATCTACTGAGGAGGCCAAGGGGAGATTCAGAGGCATTTCAGTTGCAAGAGGAGCTCCAGTGCTTACAAATCTTCTATTTGCTGATGATTGTTTAGTGTTCTGTAAAGCAGATCTCTATCAAGCACAGATCCTAACTTCCATTTTAGCAAAATACCAAGAGTTCTTAGGACAGAGGGTCAACCTTGCAAAATCTTCAGTTTTTTCAGCAGGAATACATCTTCAGCTTGTCAGAATGATATTTGCAGGGTGTTGGTGGGAATTAGGCCTGAGAAGTCGACCAGATACTTAGGACTTCCTTTAGGAATTGGTCAATCCAAAAAGGAAATATTTGGTTATGTGGCAGAGGCTGTCAGGAAGAGAATTATAAGCTGGAAAAACAAATTTCTTTCTACTGCAGGGAAGGAAGTCCTTATAAACTCAGTTCTTAATGCCATGCCAATTTTTGTTATGAGTTGCTTCAGGCTGCCTAGGGGTACTTGTAAGGAAGTGGAGAGAATTTTTGCACATTTCTGGTGGAATAGGGGTTCAAATCAGGAGGCAGGGATTCATTGGAAGAGGTGGGATTTATTGACTTTGTCCAAGAATCAGGGAGGATTGGGCTTTAAAGAAATAAGACTATTTAATGAAGCTCTCTTGGTCAAGCAGATGTGAAGGGTGTTAAGGCATCCTAAGCTACTAATGAGCAAAATTATAAAAAGCAGATATTTTCCTCACTGTTCTCTTTTTGATGCTGATCTTAAACAGAATGCCTCTTGCATTTGGAGGTCTTGGTGGAAAGTTAGAACTCTTCTTCAACAGGGTCTGAGAGTGGAGGTTAGTAATGGAATGTCAGTGAGAGTGAGGGATCACAATTGGATCCCTGGTTTGGATTTAAGAGGTCCTAGGCTCAGGCAACAATTCAAGGAGCTTGACATTGGAGTTCATGAACTACTAGATGAGGAGGGGACTCAGTGGGATACTCACAAGGTAGCAGAATTCTTTGATGATGCTGATGGAGAGACCATTCTCCAAATTCAAACACTCAATCCTTTGCAAGAGGATAAGTGGAGCTGGAAATTCAATGAAGCTGGTGGCTTTTCTGTGGCTTCATCTTACAAATTTCTAAGCCACAAGAAGTTATTGAAACTTGATCTGGCAGAGGGAAGTAATAATGCTGACAGGAACAAGAAGATAAGAATTAGGAGCTGGAGAATCAGGGTGAAAGGTAAAATTAAACATTTCATTTGGAAATGCTTTTCTGGGATTTTGCATGTTAATGTGAATGTGAGAAGTAAATGGGGTGGTAATTGATGTGGTGTGTAAGGGTTGTGGGATGGAGGAGGAGACAATAGAACATGATTTCTTTAAATTTGACAGGGCTAAGAGGGTTTGGAAGCATGCCCCTATTTGTTGGGATAGAATTCAAGGGTATACATATAAATTTGCAGACTGGTGGGGGAATGTTTGTTGTGTAGACAATAGTGATATTTCTGAAGCAAGAATTGAGCTTACAACGTACATATTATGGTGGCTTTGGAAATCGAAATTTGTGGCTTTTTAAAAATGTGTGGAGGTCAGATATTAGTATAATTCATGCAGCTTTGGGAGATTGGCAAGAAGCAGACAGGCTGTTGGCTCGTTCTAGCAGGAGGAGACATGGACTATGAACCAGGTCTACAATTGAGTAGTACAGTGGTTTGTAGTTGTGTTTCTTTTTGTGTTTTTTTTTTTTTTTGTTTTAGACTGCTTGCTGGTTTTTCCTTTTAGAGAAGTTGGAGGTCTCAATGTATGCATTGCCTTTGGTTTCTTGTGTTTTTTTAATGTGTCTAGGCTACATATGCTTTGGTGTAGTTTTCTCTGGTGTTGAACCTTTGGGTTTTACGAGCTTGTACTCGGTTGTATTGGGAACTTTGTTTCTCTTTCTTTGTTTTAATGAGAATTACCTATCGTTCCGATAAAAAAAAAAACTTTCTTACAAAAATAAATGGGAGATGTTACGGTGCTGTTACAAAATTATTCTGTCAGGTTTGTAACCGTTAGATCAACTATTTTGATGACTACATGATGATCTAACTGTTACAAGCTACAACAGAATGATTTCGTAACGACACCGTAACATTTTCCAAAATGTTATACTATTATATTTTTTTAAAGTGTTTCAATTTTCATTTTAAATTCCTAATGCGTAGTGGTCCACGTCAATTCCTACACTTCTCCATAAAGACGCAGAAAATCACGCCACAAAAAACCCACTCAATTTTCCTCTCCAAAAGCCAGAGAAAAAAAAACAGAGAACCAAAAATGGCAACCAACAAAAACCAGAAGCCACACGCTATAATGGTGTCCCTTCACCTTCAGGGCCACATCACCCCCTTCGTCAACCTCGCCCTCAAGCTCGCTTCCAATGGATTCACCATCACTTTCGCCCATCTCCACTTCGTCCACCGCCAGATCTCGGAATCCCAACCCCCCACCACCGCCGCCTCCGCCGCATCGGACGACGACGTCTTCTCCCGGGCCCGTCCCTCGGGCCTCGACATCCGCTACACTATCCTTAGCGACGGGCTCCCCATCGATTACGACCGGGCCGCCAATTTCGACCGGCACCTCGAATCGTTCATGTACCAGCTGCCGGACCACGTGGACGAGCTCGTCGGAAAATTGATCGCCGCGGACCCATATTCCGACTATTTCCTGGTCGCCGACAGTCTCTGCATCTGGCCGGAAAAGATCGCCCGCAAGCACAACCTGGTAAACGTCTCCTTCTGGACAGAGCCCGCTTTAGTCTTCTCCCTTTACTACCACTTAGATCTATTGAGAGAAAACGGGCACGTCCCCGTTAACGGCCGGCGGGTGAACGTCGATTACATCCCTGGAATCCCATCGATTAACACTAAAGACTTCGTATCATATTTTCACGATTCAGATTCAGATCTCACTCTGCTCCACAAGCTAATGTTTCGGGCTTTCGATGCAGTGAAAT